TAAACCATAACTGATCTCAATTCAAAAATTATCAAAATGTCTTAACGGTAATCAACAGAAACACTACTGAACAAAAATTCATAGTTTCAAAATATAAGCAATTAATCAGAGATTGTGTAAAACATTATTTTAAGACTTTAATCGTACTACGACACTTTTTCAGAGACCGGATTATTTTCTATTCAATAAAAACTGCACAAATTTTAAAATCACTGAGGGAAAATTTTAAAAGACATTCAAAATGTTCAGAATTTCAATCTCTATAACATACAAAAAGCTATCCAGTGATAGTTTTACCAATACAAAGACATCTTTGTTTTTTATAACAGAAACATCAATTTTATCGAAAAAATCTCAAAATTATTAAATTATTGAAATATGAGATAGCAAAGCGGAACCTATTTCGAGACGAACAACTTTCACAAATAGCCCAATAGCTAAAAATAGCCTGAAGTGGCTCAAAACAAACTTTCTCTCTAAAAAATCTCATTCTCTCTCATGCTTTGGCAACTTCGGCATTCAAATGAATGTAGTAGATTTAATATTATGTTTAAAAGCTTAATTCAATTTAGCGCTGCAGTGCTACTTCAAGACCCGAAATTCTCGAGATTAGAGCGATGCCACTATTTGGCACATCGGCACAGTGCAGCGCAGCTGCGATCGGACACCGAACATTGTGGCTCTCAAATAGTAAAATTTTCATATTTTTTTGTCAAAATGCATTCCAAATCCCCTAGACTCATTCCAGAATACATGCAATCTTTTTTCACACATCGAAACACTTATAAACACATGCAAATAGGCTCAAATACCAAAAATGCAATGGTTATTTGACTTCCTGTCGGGTTAGATCGGTTTGAACAAAATTTTGAATGTGAAGATCTCACATACCCAACACACTTAAAAGGGTGTGCCAGGAAGATGTCAGGTGACACCATGACCAAAATTTTAAATCCCACCACACTTAGAACGGTATGATAGGGTACTTGCACGAGAAAAATGTATTAGGTAAAAACAACAGTTTACGTCACACTCGCTACTAACGAGGTTCAACACCACGCTTGAAAGGGTGGGCAAGAGTCTCACCTCTCAGTGATGAGTATCTCACTTACGAGTTTACCCATTGCACCATAAACATCGATGAGGAACTTCTTTTCACCACACTTGAAAGGGCAAGTCATGGAGGCTACTAGCCATGCTAAATGCATAGAAAACAGGATCTACTCGTGATGCCTTAAACAACACCGACAAGGCTCTTTTTCCGACACATCCGAAAGGGCGTGCATAAGAGTTTTCTCGCCCCGTCCATCATTATGAGTTTCAGAGTTTTTGGGCTTATTGTTATTACACTTGCATGTAATATAAGACTAAGTGCACGACAGAGCGACAACCTGTAAGCGAGCAAACGAACTATTATGTACATATATACTTTTTAAATGCTCATTTACTGTCACACTCTAACATATACAATTGAAGAATTGCATATGTCTTTCATTTTAATCATTTAACTAGAGCTTAACAATAAATAAAAAAAATATGATTACATTTTTGTTTTGTCTGAAACCTCATATTATAGGATCCTCACCCTTTTCTGAAAAAAAATGTAAAACCACATAATGAATATATAGCCTAGGAAATAACTAAAATCTTATAATAAAAATCAATACAAAATAAAAGAGAATAATATGTTATCATATAAAAAAATATATGCATCAATGTTTATACTGATTATCTGTATGAATTCATCCTTCTATATTTCATCACATCTTAATCCATTGCATCTACTATCACAGTATCAGTAACAATGAACAGTACTAATGTCAGTAACAATATTAATATCATGATCAATAATGTTAAAGTGTTAATGACAGAAAAAATATTAGTGTCAGTCATAATATCAATACAGTGTTCATCATAGCAATGTCGGTATCAGTATCCGGATATTAAGTGTATCATAATGGTAGCTTGCTCCTTTACTTATGACTCTCAATCAGTCCCCCCTTATAACTCTCAATCAATGTTCTCCTTTTAACTCTCCTTGAATCATGTGAATTAGTTGCCTGAACTCCTTATAACTCTTAATCAATCAATAGCTCCTTATGACTCCCAATCAGTGAATCGCGTGGATCATTAGGATATCACGTGGAGTTATCATCTCATATATCTGATGTCATTCAGTACTTTATTTAAAATGCAATAAAATCATATAAAATTATTCAGAATGATCAAATCTATAACATATCCAATCTTACATGGTGGAAGCTTATGAAATCATGAAATAATGTATTTTTGACAAATTTAGGAGAAATAAAATCCGTAGAAATCAAAATTATTGAAAACAGAACTAAGAGATTAGTCACTTATAACGAATAGAACAAAATCTATAATAGGAATGACTAATAAGTATGATCTAAAGACATTTCTCTCTCATCTCTCTTCTTCCCCTCTTTCAATTTCTGTCTGGCCAAGCAACCAAGTGAGGGAGTTGGTTTGAGGGTTTTGGAAAGATGGGATTGAGGGAAGGGTTAGGATGTGGTGTGGGGGAGTTTTAGAGAGAGAAAATGATTTTCTCTCATATTTTAGAGAGAGAAAATAGTGGAAAGGGAAGAAGCAATATTTGTGTAAAGGGAGTTTGGCAAGGGATTTGGAGAGGATTGGAAGCTTGGAGGGATCTCCTAGTGAGACAAAATGTGTTTTCTCTCAATTTAGAGAGAGGGAGAGATAAGGGTAACGGGATTTTGTGGGATTTTGGTGGGGATGATTGTAGGGAGTGTGGAGATCTTTGTGGTGATGTGGATGAAGTGAAAACATTCTTTTCTCTCAGATTTTTGAAAGAAAGAAAGAGAGAGATGAGGTTATTTTGGAGAGTAAAGATTGGTGCTAGGTTTGAAAAATTGGTGGAGATGGATTGTTAGTGAAGATGATGCTTAGTGGAAGAAGATATAAGCGGTGTAGAGGCAATGGAGTTTATTTTAGGCAATGGAGTTTATTTTAGAAAGAGAGTGGTGGATGAGAGGGATTTTGGTGGATGTTTTATTGGAGAGGTTGTGAGGGAAAGAGAATATGGAGGGAGATGTGGAGAAAATGAAGTGGAGATGGTAGAGATGTTGAAGGGATGGAGAGAGAGTTTAATGGGAGGTGATTAGATTAAATAAGAAGAATAGTGAAAGAATAGAAAGAAGAAATGGGGGAAGAAGGAGATGATGGAGGAAAAGTGGAAAGAAAAAAAATATGGAGGTGGAAGATGTAGAGAATGAGAAGGAGAGGAATAAAGGTAGAGAGAAGTATTGGAAGAAGGGGAGGGGGAGATAGAGGAAAAACCAATGGTGGCCTTGAGCCGACAAGGGCCGCGAATTTGGGGTGTCAACTGGCTGGTCAGACTGGTGGTAGACCGGCATATGGAGGTAGGCAGGCTTGGGCGTC